ACGGCGGCCGCTGCAGCTGCAGCAACTGGCACCTTTCTCGCATAATCTGTAGAAGAGGCTTCAAACTGTGATAAATTAGACTGACTAGCAACTTTGCTCAGATCAAACACATGCCCGAAACCCGATCCAAAGTTTGCAACTTGTTCATGAGGAGTATTTGTTCTAGATTGAGCTCTCGGGTGACGCAACGGAGGCAAATACCCGGGACCTATATCTTGCCGCCTCTCATAAGTGGCTTCAGATGGAGATATGATCTCGACAGTTGCCTCCAATGATTCTGGATATATTTCGGAAAACAAATTGGGCGGAGCAACAACTCCACTTTCGAGTAACACATCGTGAAGCTTCTGAGCAAGTCGTGGATTCTCTTTGGCAGCATCAATCATGTACTGTGAAACATCTTTGACTTTCATCCTGCGTACAGCCGGGGAGCTAACTCCTTCAGTCCATGAAGGTGTTCTGACATGGCTGAAAAAATGATTAGGTCTGCTACCGAGATTTTGAACAGGAGCCTTTTCAACATCGGTAGGACCTCTCTCTTCTTCCTTAGACGTGTTTGGGTGAGCCCTGAAATTGCCTCCGCCATCAGATTGGTTTCCCGCAACCAAAATCTTGGTCCTACAGCAATGTTCTCCCGACCCATATTCCGCATGCTCTTCAAATGAGCTCCCAATCCCACTGCTGGAAGAAGCTACATGAGAACAATCGATATCTCGGGGACTTGCAGAAAAGACGGAGTCATCGTATTCTATATGAACCCCAGCCGCATCAGCTGGTATAAGCGTGCCCGGATCTGCCATTAGGTCAACGATGAACTCCCTGAAATCGAAACTTGTATTATTTAGCAAGAAAGAAGAGGAAACTATGGAACACCAAAGAAGGAAAATATCTTCTTTTTTTCCGTGGAGCTATGAAACAACAAAGAAGTAGCCCCTCAATCTAATATATGCAAGAATTACAATCAAACACCTAAATTTTAAGATACTATATATAGAAAACCAAAGTCATCGATAAGATTAGACCGCCATATCTTTCTATCACTTTATTCACAGAGCCATGTAAAGGTAAGACCTCACCGAAAAAACGGACAGCATACGCAAGCCCATGTGCATGTATGTGCAGTACATACAAAAGTTACGTAACTCGGTACGAAAATCTATATGTAAACGACAAAGAAATATTGGCATATATGACATAATATCCGGATTTAGAGTCGCAATTACCTCCCATCATCAGTCTTAATGAAGTTCATTGCTACATCATCTGAACCAGTGTATTGATGTCCTTTCACTATGCGACAGGGAACGCCTACTGAATCACATAAAACCTGGAAATTTCCCATCAAAAGAAGAGACAGAACACAATATACAAACTTAGTGGTGAAGATGAGGACTGGATGCAATAAAAACAAAGTTGGAAAAGCAAGTCCTTTTTTTTCGAAAATCTTGAAATGAAACATTGTATCAAACCATTCTCATTCCATATTTTGATGTAACATACTAAACTAACAGAACCCAGAACAGCACATACCTTGAATAACAAAGAACGATGGCGAGCCAATCCGATTGTAAGAGAACCGAGAGGCAAAACCATGCTACCGAGTGTTGCTTTCAAGCTGTAGCTGAGGCTCCTCCAAGCTCTTAACATGCTGTCTGGGTCCACAACCGGTCCGCCCATGTAATCTGCAACTAAAATGGCTAACTTCCTTACCAAATCACTGTTCACAAACCCGGAAGAAGAAACTGACTTTGATTTTGCAGCGATATCCAGAGCCTTCTGTTCAAGTCTCAGCAGATTTGCATCCCCAATTCTGTTAACGAGAACAACTTCCCATGTTACACCATCTGAGACAGGTGTCCCCTGAAGGTCAACTAAGGAAGGTATTCTTTCTGATGAGGATTCATTCAGTACTCCATACAAGTCATAAAATCCATCCAAGATCTTGTCATCGTAGCCAAGACAGTTGTAATTCTGTGAAGCGCATGAAAAATCTAGACGATATGAGATGGGTTAGAACAGAGTAAACAGTGACACATAGATTCTCATTTCATGAAACAGTCTACTGTGAAAGTTCCGCGGATAATAATCAACCGATCAGTTCACCACATGCTCAATTGAGAATGCTTAATGATCTTAGGAACTGAAGATTAAGGATGAAAAAATGATAATAGTTTAACAAAGTTGGGGATGATCTCCATCCCTTGCTTAAGCACATAACAGTCAGAAAGAACCATCATTTCATACCAAAGTCCCTGTTCTACAAGGCAGATGATGAAAGCTGGAGAAACTAAACGGTCAATTTTGTCATAACCCTAGCAAGCCGCCTAACATGGACATAAACCAAGAAACAGCAAGACAATCGGGATCAAATCTAGTAAAATATCTACCTAAAGTTCTTGTGCAACTACAGACCAAGTGGGCTAAAGAGGAATGGCTTCAAAAACTTACCCAGTAACGGTAAGCAACGAGTTCAGCTGGAGAATTCTCAGGAGCACAAGAACCTAAACTGATCTTCTTCACAGCCTCAATCTGAGCAGCCTCAGGATCTTCTCTAGCACTTAACTCTAGAGCCAGTTGAATCTGATACTCTTCTTCGACCTCAGGATCTCTACTGTTACTCGAACCCGAATCATGCCTCACAGATACAGATTCCGGCCCAGAACCTAAACCCCTCGATCCAACAGGATCACCACTGTGTTCCATCCTAGATCCCTTTTTCTTGGCATTTGAAGAAGTTGGTGGACTAGGGCTTTTCCTATGGCCAACTGAGCTTAGCCAATTCGATAAACCCGAAAAGGGTTTGTGCTCAGGATTGTTGCTGTGGTGGGACCTCGATGTATCCGGTGGTGATGATGCATCACTTGATTTATTGCTCCTAGATGAGGTTGACCCCTCAGCATCTTCTGATTGATTGGGCATGATATGCAGTTTCTTGAGGAAGTTCTTCATGTTCATCTTCATGGAAACAATCCGTCAGTCCGAATGTCAAAGCCGCGAACATCTCGGCTCAGTCGCCTCCATTGCCAGTTCAGAGGGACAAGCTTTACTAAACCCTAATTCCTTGTCGACACGAACCTGGAGATTCGGGGATTCAATCCAGATCAAAAACTCGTCAAACCTAACAGCTGTTGCAGCAGCAGATTTCAAGCAACACCCAGAGAATTTTCCCGGAAGCCAAACAGAAAAATTGAACAGAGCATCAGAGAAGGCACATCTCAAGCGATACCCAGAATATTTCTCCGGATTCCAGACTGACCCGTCAGAGTCCAGTAGCTGGAAAAGCGAAATTTTCAAACTTTACGAAGCAGATTTTTCCCGGAAAACACAAACCCAGATGCTCGAACACCTAGAATCTCGCGTCCAGCTTTAGGATGAATTACCAAACAGAAGAAAACCACACCCGCTCGAATTTGAAATAAAAGCCACGAGCATACAAAATCTCCGTACGAGAGCCGCAAATTCGTCTTGAGCAACTAGCAGTAGCAGCTCTCAACTCTCTCTCTCTCTCTCTTGAGAAAGTCCAAAAAAACTAAATGCCACTTTCTCTCTCTGAAATTTCCGACCAAGAAAATTAAACTAAAAAAGCTACAAAAAACAAGGAAGTGGGGATTTCAGCAATAAAATCGAAAGTTACTGTGGCATGCAAACGAGGAAAAAGGGGGAATTTTTTCTTCCTTAACAATGGTGATTGCTGAGTGCACGAACTTGTTGACGAAGGAAGGAAACCCGAAAGGAACCGAGTGGAAAACAAGTTGTCTGAAGGCTGATTTTGATCTTTAAATGGTTTCATTTTAAGAAGAAAAAAACCATGAATTTGTTTCTCTGATTGCAAAAATATGTAAATAGAAATCACAAACCTTAATCCTTTTTTTTTCCTTCTTTGGATTTGTTCATTTCCCTCTGTACTAAAACGATTACAAATTGTTAGAAAATAAAATTCTAAATAGAAAACGAATCCGAATGGAAATGAATCACAAACTAACAAAAAATAAAAAAAATATGAGTGGAAATAATTTTAGAAAACTAAAAAAATAATAAAACTAACTAAAAACAAACCCAAAATATCCCAATGTGTGTACAATCATAATATCGATACCTAAATTAAACAATGGTTTGGTTTCTTGAATATAGATTAATAGATGTTTCTATTAAATAATCATTAGCGTACCTTGTGTACATAAAGGGATAGCCAAAGAATCATATGATTATCTTTTTTTTTCCACCGGAATCATATGATTATTTAATTTGACGTTGTTGAGAAAATATAGAAGCTAGGCCGACCTGAATATTCATAGGAAAAATTAATCTTATGAAATTATGCATGTGATATCATATTTTCAATCTCTTATGATCCTTATTTGCAATTTAGTGTAGTGAGCAGAAAAAAATGCGACTTAACTTTTTACCATTGTACGAAAAAAACCCTAATAATAACAACTTTCAACCAAATAAATAAATAAATAATAACAGAAAAGCACCGGAAATAATAAACGTTGTGTTATTCTTTTCTTTTTTTTTAATATTTGATTGCATATTTTCCTCCTTTCCTCGTTTTATTTATTGCATATACGGTTTCAGTAGAAAATGGGGGAAAACGTGTGTATAGGTAACAGAGATTAGGGCAGGGCGTTTCGGTTCGGTTCTTCGGAACCGGACCGAACCGAACCTACCTTTAAAAATCCCGAAAAACTGAATATTTTTAAAGAAAATCTATCTTTTTTTTAATAAAACCCGGAACCGAACCGAAACCAAACCGAACCGAATACAATATAAAAACCGATTGGTATCTATTTTTGTAAAACCGAAAAAACCGAACCGATCAATTCTCGTCCCGAACCCGAACCGTTTCCCGAAACGCCTACCCCTAACAGAGATAATACTAGAGATAGTGCCGATATATATATATATATTAAAATTTATAATTATATTATATATATAAACTAATACATTTAAATTTTAATTATAAATTTATCAATTTATCATTTAAAATTTCAATTATATATATATATATGGATAATAACATATCATTGCTATCTACTTGGAATGTAATATGTTTATTATATAATAATTTAATAAACAATTATAAATTTAGATATTAATATAAAATTTGTATTCGATTTAGATTTATTGGTTGGTTGAAATTTTAAATCAGATAAAATGTTTAGATGTTTTTCAAAAATTTAAAATTTATAAATAATTAAAGTTTAAATGTATATTTTTAAAAGATTAGCATTTTAAAACTTTTTTGTGATTTTTTATTTTTAAATTACATATTGAAATTCTCATCTGAGTTTTTGTATAAAAAAGAACACATTATTTGTGGAACTCAGACTTTGTTTTGTACGAAAATTGATGGATTACAAATCAAATAATATAATTTCCACTGCCTTTAATTTGTAATTGTAAGCAACAAAATAGTTTGAACGTTTATTTATAAGCAGCCTTTTGGACTTGATATGCTTCAACCCTAATCTTGGCTTTTAGGTTGTTTGACTCTATCCATATATATATATTCATTAAAATACTTTTCTTCGTATGTATACCGTATATGTATATGTCAAACACACGTACACATGGCGTGAGAGGTATAACGAAACAATTAAGCATTTATACAATAAAAATTGTATTTTCATTTGTTTATGCAATTATTAAACCAATAGCCGGCCAACACATTTCTTACTCGTGGTTAATATTCCGTCACAAAAATAATAATAATTTAGGAACAGTTTTTAGTTCCACCATAATGAAAATCTTACCAAATTAACGCAATATATATATATATATATATATATATGTATATGGATATCATAACTTATGAATCAGAAATTGCCAGCAAGGGAAGGTCAACACTTTGGTATCCACGAGATTAGGGGATACATAAAAATATAATATTCCTTTATGTTAACTTCTCATTAGTGATTTGATATTATATATATATATATATATAGGTGGTCCTGAAAATCGCCTACTTGAGTTTTGGACCAGCATGTTTCATTGATGACTTGTATAGGAGAAAGAAGTAATAAATCACAAATATTATTTCGACGAGAAATTTGGTACGTCCAATTATATAACTATTTCAATGAGAAATTTGTACTAATAAGACCCCAAATAAAACCACTTTAGATTTGATTCAGCCCTCTTTTTCTCTATGTCTCTCTCCTCGCCTCAAATTTCAATAATTTATAAAAATAATTTATAATGTATTTTAAATATTTGCAGTCTCGAAAGGGGTAGTTGGTTTATGATTTGTCTTAAGGCTTTTATTGCCAAAAGTTGGTATATTATTTTCTTCTTCTTATGTATATATAATTATTATAAAAAAAAACCTAAATTCCACAACCAACCAAAAAATAAAATATGTAATGAATATGTTCAGCTATCGATTGATACTACCATTCACATGCATCAAGAATATACTTATTAGGTAAGATGGACCAAATATATATATATATATATATATATAAGTTTCAATATCTTACTAATGTAAAAGTTGAAAACAAGCTTGCTCACCATCAATACTTTGTTTAACTTATATTTGCAAAAGAAATGAATCAACAATAGCTCGAATATTTTTCTTGAGTTTAACTTTGCTTTCATTCAAAAGCACAAACAAACGTATATTTGTACAAATACATGTATGCGGACATACATACATACATACATACATATATGTGTACATAAGCATGAAACATGGGTTGCCAGAGAGGAAGAAGCCAAGAGAGAGATCGTAAAGATTTCAATGTCTATCTGTCCCTATCCAGAAAACGAAAGAGGTGGACAAATGCTTGGGTATACACAATGAAGACCATGCATGTGAATTTTAACCGCTTTAACTATTCCCACACAATATAAAATATAACTTATACATTAATTTCCATCATAAATAGTAAAATAAAATTTCTCTGATATGTTCGTTGCGTTGTGGGTTTGACTAAGTTTGACCAAGGCGCGTGGGGCAGACGCGGGGTGGTAATGCCACGTCGATCTTTATCCAGTCAAAGTAAAAGAAAAAAAAACTAATTAATTAAAAAGAGAAGAGACTCTTTCTGCATTCTAATTGGCGCCAGCTCACATGATGGTGGGGGCCACTTCTCCACAATCAGATTTATTCCTTTCTTTCCCTTTTCTCCCTTTTCGTAAGAAAAATACGTGAGGTCGATTTTCTCTATAAATTAAAAATCGTCAACTTGCACAAAAACAATGAGGAGAATTAAATTTCCGAGTAAATTAAACAAAATAATGGACCTATTTTTTTTTTTAATGGGTCTTTCACATGTTTGAAAAAGATATCGAAATACTAAATCCCGAGCTTTTAATAAATTTTTATTTTCTGTTCATATTTCAGTTTTTTAACCGAAATTTCTATAAAATTATTATAAACTTTATATTTGTATTTCATGCGAGAACTTTACCGCATGACAAATATAAATTACTTCCTATATATATCACCTTTTACTATTTATTCTATATAAAAGTTTTGTAGACGATGAAAAATATAAATTTCTAAAAAAAATTTAGAATAATAATAACATTGACGGTTTCATCTTCGTGGAGTAAATTTTTTTTTTTTATGTCTCCATAATAATTAATATAATTTGAGCATACTACATTCTGTCGCATTTTCGATTTTCACTCATTTGGGCTTAATTAAAAAAAGAAATGAATATAACTGGGCTTTATATAAAATGGGCCAAGGCCCATTGAGGTTTGGTTCGTTCTCCAATTTTAAGTTTGCTTGGTGTTGGCCTGAACCGAACTGCAACATTCTTTGAATTTAATATGCTTTTTGCAGTATAATAAATGTGAAATGTAAAATTCTGATAATAGGTTATGGACTAATGACTTGAGAGTTTCTTCCTAACAATTTTCTCTCCACAAATAAAAAATTGTTTTCAACTTGCAAAAATATATACAAATAAACCTTCAACTTGAAAAACTGTAATTCAATCCCCGAAGTTGTAACTTGTCACTGAATAAAACCTCGAACTTGTAAATTATTGCTCTAATAAACCTTTGACCGGTTTGACCACAATTTCAAATGATCGGAAATCCACGTATTGACGGATTGTTGATGTCATTTTTTAAATTAAAATTGATAACGTGTATAAGGTGACATCAACAATCCGTTAATACGTGGATTTCCAATCGTCTAAAATTGTGGTCAAATCGGTCAAAGGTTTATTAGAGCAATAATTTGCAAGTTCGAGTTTTTATTCAGTGACAAGTTACAACTTCGGGGATTGAATGATAGTTTTTCAAATTGAAGGTTTATTTGTATATATTTTTGCAAGTTGGAGGTTTTTTAGGGGTTTTATCTTTTTATTCTCTTAATCTTATAATTTATCTGCACTTAGTCAAAATAGATTTGGTTCGCTAATCAATCTATATTTTTCGAGTTAGGTCAAAAAAATTGAAAAAATAAGTTCGTATAGTATATATTTTTTTGTTTTTAATACATTTTTTTATTATATTTAATATTTTTTTCTCACGAATTAGAACGATATAAATCGAATCAGAATTTTTTTAACTCGATAAAAACATACCGCAACGATCTCAACTCAAAACAAATTAATAAACCGATTTAAATTGAATTGGACCGAACGAACCGTTTTACATCACGGTCGAATGAAGACAGCCATCCTTTGTCATCTTTTTCCATGTTTTATAAAGTTGTTTGACATATGTGATGGTAAACTAGCTTGTAGGAATTATTCATATTATTATTAATTTATTATGTATAGCTATCAATTATAATTCAACAAAAAAATAGATTTTATATGACGACAATAATGAATTAGAATAAGAAGATATTTTTTTAATTTCAAATTATTGGTCTCAGCAATAGTTGACCGGTCAAACCTGTATATAATATGTATATAAAACCTTCCTTCTCCCGCGAGCTTCGCGCTCTCTCTCTCTCCAAAATCAGCCGAAAATGAAAAAAAAAATAAACCAAGCGTATAAAATAGGACATAAAATGAATAAAATAGGAGAGAGAAGGACATGGTCTCAACTCGGGGAGGGGGAAAAAAATCAACCAACAAAAAAAAACATCGAGAGAGAAGCGGCGAAGAATGCGATGTCTTCCTGAAAAGTGTTTGGCTGAGAGGAAAATCGGAACGAAAACCCTGTAATTGTTGACCTGTAATCGATTGATGGGTGGTGGTGGTAATCTCGTCGACGGTGTTCGTCGATGGCTTTTTCCTCGTCGTCCTTCTCCTTCTGATAATCGCAATCCTAATCCAAATCATAATCCTTCTAATTCCTCTGATCCTAATCAAGTGGTCGACGAGAGCAGCGGTGGCGATTCCAAGGAGGAGCTTACTGTTACCGAAGATCTTAATCTGTCTGGGCTAAAGCTCATTAGGGTTCCAAAGCGACATCACTTACCCATGGATTCTCACAAGAAGGTGCGTTTTTCTGTGATCTTTTTCTTCCTTCGGGAATGTAGGTATGATTTGTTTTGATTTAAATCTAATCTTTTAATCCTGTTTATTGGGTTTCTCCGGAATTGAAACATTGTTAAACGGACTTCTTTGATTTAGAAAATTTACGGGTGATCTGGATTTGAGCCCTCTTGATGGTTGAGTTGTGTAAGACTGTAGAAAGCCTATAACTTGTCGTGATCTGGGTGAAACAGGAGATGTGTGTTTAACTCTCCGACAACTCGTTTATAACTTGTCGGGCGTCGTTTGTTTTCTTTCGTGCCCTTGATGCTCAAAAGGATCAAAAGGAAGAGTTTTGTGTTACATTCCTGGAAACTAGATCCATCAGTTTAGCTGATCTCATGATGCTAGGGGAAACGATTCGCCAAGATCTCTTTGGCATTGTTGTTGGGAGTTAGATATGAATGAATTCGATCGGTCAAATCGTTGAATTCTGTTTGATCCGTGAGAAAATGGAGGGATGTGGTCCTTTTGTCTGAATATAAAGAGCATGTGGGATTTACTTATTCGAAGTTAACCGATATTGCTGCTCTTATGGTTGATGTGAGTGGGCTCATGGTATTTCTTGATTATTCATCTACCTTGCTCATGATCATCAATCCATGATTTTACACAGATCATGTGGAACAAGATATCTCCATATGTATTCGGTCATCTAATTTTTCAGTTCAAACTGAATATTTCGTCAGGGTACACATGAAGCTGACTTCTTCACGGAGTATGGAGAAGCAAGCAGGTACCAGATTCAAGAAGTGGTCGGAAAAGGAAGCTATGGTATTGTAGGTTCTGCTGTAGACACACACACTGGTGAAAGGGTTGCGATCAAGAAAATAAACGATGTGTTTGAGCATGTCTCTGATGCAACTAGGATTTTGAGAGAGATAAAGTTACTCCGTCTGCTTCGTCATCCAGACGTCGTGGAGATAAAACACATCATGCTCCCTCCTTCTCGACGGGAATTTCGAGATATTTATGTTGTGTTTGAGTTGATGGAATCTGATCTTCATCAGGTGATTAGGGCAAATGATGATCTGACTCCCGAGCACTATCAGTTTTTCTTGTACCAGCTTCTCCGTGGTTTGAAATACATTCATGCAGGTTAGTTTCTGCCTTCCACACTTCCGAGTTTGTTTGGTTTCAGACTCACAGTCTCTAAAGGTTATTGAATGATTATTGCTCTGTTGGCAGCTAATGTGTTCCATCGGGATTTGAAACCAAAGAACATTCTTGCTAATGCTGATTGCAAACTGAAGATCTGTGACTTTGGTCTGGCTAGAGTGTCTTTTAATGACGCCCCATCAGCTATTTTTTGGACTGTGAGTTCATCAAACTAAAAGAATGTGATAGCAGTCTGCTCCTTAGGTTTTTTCTTAATCCGCCCAAGTTTTAACATCTTGTGTCTCAGTGCTTGTTTACTAAATCTTTTTCATCGTTTTGTATAGGATTATGTTGCTACTAGGTGGTATCGTGCCCCAGAACTCTGTGGATCCTTTTTCTCCAAAGTAAGCTCATCTTCCTCAATGGACTTTGACTGCTAATTTTTCCTCTATTTCATGTCTTCCATCTGAGTCTGTGACATTCATAACTGCAACTGTCTTTGCATTTTGCCTCTGGTTCTTCGATTTCATGTTCTCATGTCATTCATCAATTAACCTCTCCTGATCTTGCTTCTATATCCATCGAGATCATAACTTTAGGCTTCTTGTATTTTTTCCAAGAGCTTTCTCTTGCATGTTGCCTTTCTAGTTGTATTATGGAAAAAAACATATTTGTATCTTCGCTGAATTTTAGCTAAATTTCATGCCAATTTCCTGCGAATAGGATCTATGCTTTTTGTGGTCGGTCTGTTGTGTGGTCCTATATATTAGGAAATCTACTATGGTCTGCTCTATTGAAAGACGATAACTAATTCAACTTTTTATATATCCAGTATACACCTGCCATCGATATCTGGAGCGTAGGTTGCATATTTGCTGAAATGCTTCTGGGAAAGCCTCTGTTTCCCGGGAAAAATGTGGTGCATCAATTGGATCTTATGACTGATTTTCTTGGCACTCCGTCGCCTGAAGCCATATCAAGGGTTAGTCATTTAAATTGATATATTTTTTTTCCTGATCTCTTAACATCACAAAAATCAGTCTTTTGCGAACAACATTGTAACTTTATAAAGTACTTATCTTTCCTTGGAGAAGAACAACTCGAAAGTAATGTGATTCCATTGTTTACCTTTTCTGCCTAAGAGTTCCGAAATAATCTTTGCTTTGTAACGGGTATGATGTCTTGAAATCTGCAGATCAGAAATGAAAAGGCGAGGAGATATCTTAGCAGCATGCGGAAAAAGCAACCGGTCCCATACTCGCATAAGTTCCCTAAAGCCGACCCCATGGTCCTCCGCCTTTTGGAACGTCTTCTGGCCTTTGATCCTAAAGATCGTCCAACTGCTGAAGAAGTAAGATGACGTAAATTTACTTTTATTTTCAATGTTTTGATGAAGACACTAGAAATTTACATTCACATTTCTGATACCCATGTGTAAAAATTAACAGGCACTGACTGATCCATACTTCAGCGGTCTGGCAAGTGCTGATCGTGAACCATCCACGCAACCAATTTCAAAGCTCGAGTTTGAGTTCGAGAGGAAGAAGTTGACGAAAGATGATGTCAGAGAGCTAATTTATCGGGAGGTAATGAATGAGCCTTCTCCATCTTTCTTTTCTTTGTTCTGGTTTTGTCTCTTTCTTCATGGTTCTAACTTCTAAACTTTATCTGAGGAAAATGCAGATATTGGAATACCATCCACAGATGCTGGATGAATACCTTTGTGGCGGTGATCAGCTTAGCTTCATGTACCCCAGGTAGTGTTATCGATCCCTGATTAAAAAGATTAAACTCGTTTTTGTATTTTTTTTTTTAAGTTTGATTTGGAAATAAGCTGTCCAATCCTTATTTGACCTTTCAAGCAATGAAAATGATTCTTCTACATACTATGCAAATATCTTTTGTTATGTATTTTATGGGATTCAGGATACCATGTAGTTGATCGAACTTCCCTTTTGAGTAGCATTTGTTCTATAGGCTCGTATGACTAAACATCTCTTTGTTAATGCAGTGGAGTTGATCGATTCAAGAGGCAATTTGCTCATCTCGAGGAAAACCAAGATAGGGCGGGGAGGAATAACGCGCTTCAGAGACAACATGTTTCGTTACCGAGGTATTTTACCGCAGAATCTTGAAGCGGGTTTCTTTCAATTCTAAGCCATGCTTGTATATGTTCCGTTTTATGTTCTTGAAGTGTTGTTATTCAGCACGTGTTGTGTTATTCGTTCTTGGCTTCCCCAGAGAGCGAGTTAACAAGAACGGGAATGCCG